GAAATCACTAGTTGAATACTAATGTTATTATGTATGGAAAAGTAATAGATTTTATAAAATAGATTATCCCATTACTTCATAGTCTATCTATCAACATACATGTTATGAGAAAAGATAATGGTATCTTTATAAGATAACTTTTAATGTTTTGAGATTAGGGTAACCATTATGGGAAATTTCGGTAATCATAGGCTGTTTATAGAACTTCGAAAGACAAATCATTAAATTCATGTACCAATTGAATCTGGATCACCATGGAAAACTTGGAAGCACTGGGTAGCCATTTCGTCGTGGTATGGGACTCCTCAGGAGGGTGCATCCATGATTATGCCCTCGTGATTCCAGTTCAAAACCTATTGATGGGAATTGTAGATGTGCACTGTTGAGAAGACACATACTAGAACGGAATGGCTGTTCAGTGCTTCCAGGTTTTTCATGATGATCTAGATTTAATTGACTCATGAATTTAACTACAAAAAATTTCTAGTATCTCCACAAAACCCCTTTCTGAAAATAATTAAATGTATTAAAAGAAATAAAGGTAAAACTCAATAGATTTGACAATTTACTTCATCAAATTATTTTACTATAGAAAAAAGTAATAATTTTAATACTAATAACATGATCCCTATAATATTTATTACTCGACAATATTAAACAAAAGTAGATTGATGATTAAATAAGTGAATACTGCTCTAGAACTATACACCTAATAATATAACTGAATTTCTTAAATTTCCCTTAGAAATCAATAAGTTACATAACCATTTTATGGTAAATATGAGAATTTCCGCCTGGAGTCCCTCCAGGGGCTACTGCCGGTCCAAAGCCTGGATAAGGGAGGAGGGTTGTGGATGGGGTTAGCGACTCCATCCTGTAGAAAACTAACTCGCTAAAAAAACGATAACCATGAGAATTTCTTGATCCATTAATTTAAGTTAACAATATGTTTAATTGTCAATATCCGTTATATAGTTAGTTGATATATCAGTATATTACAATTCTTTTATATTATCTCTATTAATTACTATTGATAAAAACAATACAAGATGAATCTTGACATTCTGGTTATTTGATTCTATACAATAATAGTAACTTGTATAACCTAAGAATATTCGGTAATTATATACATATATACATCGTTAACAAAATATTGAACATTAAACATTTTCCTTTTTTTCCATCTAGTTAAGTCAACTAGTTTTGACACACTAAACTTCATTAACAAATGTCGATAGTTTAAATTAAAATTGTCACAAAGGAAAAAAATTTTGTATGTGACAGTATCTTATATTTTAAATAGCCCACACATTACTGGTTAATAACTGGGGAAAAAAAGCTCATTTATCTTTTCACTATTGTTAATCAGTTCAACTATCGTTCTTTTATCTTGATAGATGAATTCTTCTCAACGTAACTGTTCACATACATATACATATTTACAAATACCCATAGATTTTCTTACATTATGATACATATAGACACTATCCATACATTTTACGTAAGGTGGTCTACACAAAGTATTTTGGCGCCATTATCAATATATACTATAGAAGAAATAATATGAAAACGATGTTTAAATGTTTGTATGTAAGTGTGTGATTATTTAACATGATATAAATTATGTTTTCAATATTCATATATGTATATAGGAAAATTACCTTTAAATAGGCGAAATGTTGGCGATAGATTGTTTACATACTGCTGTTTGATTTTTTGTACAAAAATAATCCATTCAGTATTTTGAATCATAACAACAACAATTTTCTTAGTAATAATAACTATTATTTTCATAACTAAAAGAAAACACATTTTTTTCACCACCACCCCAATATATATATATATATATATATATATATATATATATATATATATTTGCTGACATTTTCAGCTTTGGTAAATTTACCTAGACACTATGATATCTGTGAATGTGTATATTGTGTATTGTAAAAAAAAATTAAATACAAAGAAGCAAATGGTGGGTTCTGCTTATTCTTTTTCCCCCCTCCAAATATATACAATACATATATACTTGAATTGTTAAAAATTATTTCTTAAACTGACACTTTTTTTTAATAAATATGATGCTAATGAAACTGATAACAGTCATACTATTTAAGTTTACACAAAATATTTTGGTTTTTTTTTTCATTTTTCATTGAAGTTCAGTTGCTTTGGTGCTTTTTTTCTCTTTTTTCTTTCTTATTTAAATTTCAGTAAAATAAATCTTTGTTACACAGTCAGACATGTAGGTGTATGTTTATATGTGTATAGATAAAAGGTTCATTATGTGTAAACTGAAAACTTTTCCCTAGTAGTAAACTAGTCATTAACATTAAATGCTAATCATGATCTCTTTTATAGCTACATGCGCATAGATTATTTTGAAATGTTTAAAATTGAAAAGATTTTGAATCGATCCACTGTATGCTTTATAGTAAACATTCAGTTATGTAATAATTTCTTTTTTTGACTGTTAATGGTTAATTAAAGGTAAAGTCTTCCAAAATGTGTATACAATAAGATGGTTAGTAAAAAGTAATGATAATAATAATGTTATGGTCACTATTAACTTCTTTATTAATACTGTAATGAACGACAAGACTAATAGGGACAAACAAATGCATTTTAACATAACATTACAGAATATCTTGGTAAAATCTGAGATCTATACAGTAGTAGTTCATTTGCAAAATATCTATCAATTGTCTTAGACTTTACTGTTCCTTCTTTTCCATACCAATAATTGTCTGTTCTCTTCTCTTCGATTTTCTCAACCTACTGCCTCCAGGTATTTCAATACCGATCGTTGGTATATACTACTTATATTTGTCGATATCAGTAGCACACACCACAATACTACGTATTTGATTCTAATAAAAATTTATTGAGACAAACTTGTGCATCTTTAAAATATGAGTTTTTTTTAATAATGAATGAATTTCGTCTATTTTCATCAGGTAACCTCTCCAAATGTTTTGCTCTTAACTTTTTTTCATTACATAACACATTCGATGTATAGATTCTAATTTAGTTATTTCATGTTTTTCTAGAAAAATTAGATGAAAATAATAAAAAGGGGAATTTCATGATGGCTCTGGATAGAATTCTAATAATAACTCACTCTTAGTTTTAGGTATTCTTAAACTTATGGATCATTAATTAGTATTGGAAATCGTCAGTGCAAAACTTCGTAAACAATGGTCCATATGAATATAATTATAAACTGTTACGTAATATAGAACTATCTGGAACAGTTAATCAAATGAAATGGTTGCATTATTATTATTATTATTATTATTATTATTATTATTATTATTATTATTAGTAGTAGTAGTAGTAGTAGTAGTAGTAGTAGTAGTAGTAGTAGTAGTAGTAGTGGTAGTAGTAGTAGTGATGATGATGATGATGATGATGATGATGGCAGTCTTCCAATAAAAAAATGAAAAGAATAGATTTTGCACGAATAGTTTATCAGGTTGATAATACGTGGAGTGAATTCGATTAGCGTTGTAAAATCACTATAAGTAGTGAATAATTACCAAGTTATTCATTCACGAAGAATCAACTCGTCAAACTCTTTTGGTTATTGTTTTCAACTAACAAATTTCATTGTGTCTATATGTTTATTTAATTTTGACTTTTGAATAAGGACTGCTTTGAAAAATAAGTTCCTAAACAATGAGTTTAATTTTCTTTCTATTTTATTTTTATTATTAAGATAACTTTGTGAAATTTCTGTTCAAATATTAGATAATTATTACTGACCGCTGATACAAGTGTCACTACTAAATGAAATATGAAACTAAACGAAGTAATCAGCAGTTAAATACTGTTCTCACTATGATCTACAGGCTGGACGACTGAACTTCAACTAAAATTCCATTGACAGGACAAATGGATAGTTATAACACCGATCACTTGTGAGAAAGATGGGAGCTATTCATTTTGAAAATAGCGTAGGAAGCTTCTACCTCATTTATGGTATGCTAATTTTGTGAAGTCAATTGTCCAATTTCAGGCGGCTTAAACATTTCAAATACCTAAGTGAAATTGTCTAGTAATCTACATTGACGAACGCTGTTTACTGTCCAACGTGTAAGTTATATTTGTTTGTTTAACGAAATTTGCTATCGACTATAGATCATCGGTTTATATTTTTAACTCACTATTAAAATGTATGTAAAATCAAGGTGAATGCATTATCTTAGTTACTTTAGTAAAATACATACACCAATTAATATCGCAATTAAATATCTAGAGGTCAAATAGGTGTACTATATAAATAAGTCAGTCACGTGCTAACTAGTAATTTACCTTTCTAAATATGAGTACTAATAGAATGGAATCAACATGATACGTTGGATCATTACACTATATGCTAACTAGTGCACGTGCGTTGCATGTTTCCTTATTATATATATATATATATATATATATATATATATATATATATATATATATATATATATGACTGACATTTTATCCTTTTCACTTACAAAAAAATATAGATTTTTATATAAATGAAGTTTCTAGAGTCAACTGTCAACAAGTGAACTTATTATTGTTATTATTTATTCAGATTTATTGAAGATTACAACATACCCAGTTTAAAATAATATCAATGTCGCCATAAGCAACAATATCTCAGTAATCTTCATTCTAGTCTTTTAGTTATTTTTAATTTGTCAATATGACTAGAATTTTTAAGCCAATAGAAATGTTTAACTGTATCCACCCCATATATTATTAATGACTGAATAACCAATGATTTTCAACTTTACATGATATTATGATACTGTATGAAATTTTTCTTAGGGTGTGAATTAAATAGTTCTAGATGAAGTGTGTATACACTATACATTTGCGTATTCTATATAATCATGATAGTGATTAGAGTGGATGATCGCGTGTATCACTATATGATAGGTGATGTCGAGACTGAAATAACAGGGTTTTTTTTCATCCACCCTTATTTTAAAGCTGTGGATTATATGTACTTCTATCTATCTTTCTTACTTTTCTTGGTTCTTTCTCTCATTGTACATAATTTCTCTCTCCTTTTATAAAAACTTTCTCTCTTTCAAATGAATGATAAATAGAATTATTTGATAATGGGGGAAAAGTCACTTACTCTAGACTTGTCGACTGTAGGTCATAAGGCGCCAAACTTAATACCTTGGCGACAATCTATCGGCGCCATTAGTCAACATTCAAAGCAGTAGTAACCTTATGAATACATCCTTATGCTATGGAAACAGAAAAGACAAATCTATACAATTTGACGCCGTCAACACTTATATTTCTCAAAACATCTAACCTTAGTCGTCTATCAATAGATTATTACTTTTCAATTACAAAAATTATTACTGTATACAAATTTCAAAAATTTTTCGATTATGTATTTGAAAAATGTTGGCAATTAAAATATTCAATTAAACAATTCGGATTATATCTTATATTATCTATCAGAAAAACATTCATTTTAAACAGGATATGTAAATGTATTATTGTGAAGTTAAACAAATCTATTTTATTCATTATTTTTAATAATTCAATTCATAAATTATGTTTTTTAATTATTTATTTAAAATTTATTATACGATTTTTATTAATCACTTATTATATTTCATATAATACTCAATCAATTAAACATTTAATTTATACAAATGTCAATAATCATAATGATGACAATGATGTTGATGATGGTGACAATGATCATGATGATGATTATGTTGAAAGGGAACCATTCATTAAATCATCAATATTTCAATCGAATAAAAGTAAATCAGTGAAATCCTTATCATTATCAAATGTATTATCTAGAAAAAATACAAAGAAGGTTAGAAATATATCTAGATTGAATGTTCTTACTTATTTAATATGGATTATTATAATTATTTTAACATGTACTATAAAAACTATTGAATCTATTGAACAAATTCATCATTCACCTAAATTATCAAATGAATATAATTTAATTAATCTATTACAATCATTAACTACAATTGAAAAACAAATGAATTTAAATATATTAACAAAATCTGAACAAAAAACATGGAATTATTTAATAGAAAAATTATTAAAATCACAAATAAATATGATTAAAAATAATCCATCTATAGATTATACTTCAAGTATAACAACTATAAGTAGTAGTTTAAGTAGTATGAATAGAAAACAGTTCAATAATAATAATAATATTCAAAAGCCATCTAAAGAAGAATTAATAGCTAAAACACCTAATTATATGTTTAAATTACATGAACGTCATATGAATGATTGGCATAGTTTTGGACGTTATGAATCTAATCATTTATTACATCCTGATTATGTGAAATATTTAAATGAAAATTCAATTTCAATAGATAATATTGATTTATATAAAGAAAAAAAAGAAAAAACTCATCATAATCGTCATCATCTTGGTATGATTACAGCAATAAGGCATCATAAACATATAGGTAAGTTATAATCATTGACTATTTACAACATATTAATAGTTGATTTCATGAGTTGATCTAAGCTAGAATACCATTGAAAGTCTGGATGCGTACTGTTGAGTAGTCCCATATGAAGAAGAAACGATTGTCCAGTGCTTCTAGGTTTTCAGTGGTGGCCTAACATCAATCGGTTCATGATCTCAATCAAAAACTTAACAATCTCCATAACCCCTAAACTGCTAATCACTAATGATGAATTTTACCTCTGATGGTTAAATGAAAAATAATTTAAAGATTGATGGATTTATGTCTAGATTTTCCGGAAAATAAGAACAATATAATTATATATAATTAATATATTACCATGATGTAGTGTTTATAATTTTGAGAAATTTTTTTTAGAAAAGAAAACTGATTAAACTTGACTCAGTTGGTTATATGAAACATAAAAAAATTATTATAAGCAAATATGGACGTGCGTTTCGTTCTATTTGGAACTCATCAGCTGGATGTACCTGCATCTAAGAGTTGATGTTCACTCCAGGACTCGAACCCAGTACCGTTCGCTCTGAGATCAGATAGATCCACCTGACAACTCCCAAATAGGACGAGACGTGAGTCCTGGATTCCACTGCTAGCCAACATCCACCTTTGTTTATAAAGCTTGTAACTTAAGGCAATATCGAGGCAATCTGTATAGGGTGTACATATTTCAACAAGAAACTGGTCATTTACAGTCCCAAGCAACAATAGGAAGATACAGGCAAACAACAAGTCAATTCATAAAAATTTATTATTTGTTTGATAAAGTGGTCTCGTCATTTAAAGAATAGTGTTTAAGTCGAAACCTTGGCGAAAGTGGTTCTTTATAAACAGCTGTCTTATAATATTGGTGTTTTATGATAAATGTAACTTATAACTTAAAATCATTTTTAGCTACTAATTTCTAATTTTAAAATCAACTGATTAGTTATCTTTAAATAAACGAAATTTCAGAAACTATTTACTCTTGCAAAAGTGATGTATTCACTTATAATGCTTTCGTATCTACAAGCCTATAGTTGTGCATATAATGAATCAGTCAAAAAGTCAATTATTTATCATTCGTATTAGTAAATCATTGTTAGAACAGTAACAAATGAATGGAGTTTGCAAGCACATATTACTAGATTTCAGTTTAATATTCACATGAAAATATTTAAGCCAAGATCTCAGTGGTACTTATCAGGTGATTTTGTTTAAAAGATATGATGTAACCTAGAAACAATTTGGAGTTTTCAGTCACAGTCTGTTGAGATATTTACAGTATGTCTGCTACTCGGATACTTAATATTGACCTCCTAGCAGCTCCTTTACTTGAGCCCAGAATAGTAGAAAAAATTCGAGTTAAAAATACAAACTTTATCGATCTACGGGCGCAGTTGACCTATTGGAATTATCTGGAAATACGCTAAATTTAGTAACAAAGTAAGTAAATACTTAACCGAATTATGATAAATAGTTCTTAGTTCTTCTACTTGTCACTGGGAATTTTCGGTTCTTCGGTGGTTGAGAATATCTTTTCCTAGCTTCTAAAGGCGTTTTCAAGGAATTATTGGTAAGCCTTCAATAATCAGTTAACTCAAGAACTCAATAATAGTTCTGGCTTTTAAAGGATCTCTTCATTCCTTTGTTCTTCACTTGTCTTCTGAGTGACAAACTCAAGATCGTTCACCTAAAGGTTTGGAACCTAGGTGATTTAACAGAGAACTCAGGAACATAACCACTAAGGTTATTTTCATACTAATGGCTCCTTACATAACTAGGTAGACTTCTTGGATTAAAAAGCTATTAGAAGTTATAGTAACCTTCGAGAAGTAACTCATTCAATTGTATGCTTTTAAATCTGAAACTTCCATCAGTGTGTCTTTCTTCTGCTGTTGAACTTATGTTTTTTGATTGGTTGGGTTATCTTTCAAACCTTGTAATTCAAAGTTGTCTGTCGGCATATGTATTCTCTGGATGGTTTGCTCTGATTCAGTTTGCTAATCATACCTCCAAAGACACGGGCTTGAGTCAAGATGATGTAAACTTCACATCATGGACACTAGTATTTGATTGTAGTATCAGAATTCTATGGATCTACTGTTACAACACTGAATAATAATTATGTTAAATTTTAACCTAAGTGAATTTTCTTACTCACCAATTTTAAAGTGGCATAAGACAACCATCTCTGATTCCAAGTAGTTGACTTTTTTAATTTAGTTTAATTTATAAAGTTTATCTTCTTATTTATAATGTCTGGTTTATAACTTAATTTGTTGATAGTTCTTTCCCATAAAATTAATTATTTCATTTAAGAAAACTATGAAGTGTTCTTTGACTTTTTCCTGAGTATAAATAGGAAATCCTAATCTATAATTGTTTGGATTACCCTGTAGTTGATATTTTGACTAAAATTTATTTATTATATGTTCATTCTGTGCGGAATGCTTCAATTTGCCCATTATGACACAGACGGAATGTGGTTGACAATAGAATCCACAACAAGCGTCTCATCTTATTAAGCGCTTGTCATCCAGATGTTTCTACATCCCTAAGTCGATGTCTAATTCGGTACTCAAACACAATGCCTTCCACTTCACACCAACGCGTTATCAACTTAGCTATTGATTTCAGAAATCCACTTAATTGTAGGACGGAGTGGATATCAAGACGTTTTTCTGTTATTTATATGATTAGAATTATCTTTACCAAATCACTTCACTAATAGCGCTATGAGGTTATTTGCGTCAAAATTGTAAGTATTTAAAGTTGTTTCTTAAAAAATATACGAATAAGAAAATTTAGTTAAGACTCGTTCCTTTGAATGAATTCTGATTATAGATATGTGTATATAGTTCTACTGAACAAACAATAATAAATGTGTCATATCAAATCTCATTATAGATTTAGAAACAGTTAACAGTTATGCAATACTCTGTGTTATAATAACATAGTGAGTAGATCATAATAGTTTAATTGCGGAAAAATTCCCATCATATTAAGACACAGATCTATACCATGAATAGAATCTGAAGAGAACTTATTGAAAAGATTATCCTTTATTCATATATTTGTGTTTTGATGTAGTGAGCAATTTCAAAGTTAACTTTGTTCATACACCCATAGTTTATAAGAAAATAAATCGGGTTTTATTGGCATTGTATCGTTAAGAAATTTCTACAGTAGGGGATCTGAATGAACTGCATTTACGATCGAGATGATGTATAATCCGAAATGATTGTTTAATTAATTAGTTATATATCACTAACTTTTAAAATCCTCTCTCATAACCTACAGAAAGTCGAAAAACTTATGAAATTAGAACTTCGAATTAGACAATCATATTTATCACAGTATAATATTTGGTTTGTGGAGTTGAATAACTGTCATTCAGTTATGTGTGTGAATAGTTCAACAATGAGATCTATGACCATGATACTTATGAATATTATTTCAAACTTTATTAGGGACTAATTAATAATTATATCTTTCTCATAAATGTTAGTTATATTCATTTTTAATGATACTAGGTTCATAGAAAAACTGACTAAATTTCTTAACAACTGATATTTCTGTATATCTGTTTCATATATCCTACTAAAACGTTAATCTCAAAGATAATCTATCATTCTACTGAGGAGTAATAAATAGTATCATCGCATTTTGAATATACTTAAATAATAGTTGAGTTCATAAGTCAATTAAAGGTAGATCACCTTGGAAAACCTGAAAGCACTGGACGACCATCTCGTCCTAGTATGGAGCTCCTCACTAGTGTGCATTCAGGATCTTGCTGCCCGCGCGATTCGAATCCAGAACCTTCGATCTCACGCGCGATCGCTTAACCTTTAGAGCTATACTAGGACGAAACGGCCGTCTAGTGCTTCCAGGTTTTCTATGGTAGTCTAGTTTTAATCGATTCATGAACTCAACTAATTACTAACTAAATTACTGCAATTTCCACAAAATCCCTTTCTGATATTTAAATAAGACAATTTATATGATAATAATTGACCTCTGTATAGCAAATATTGGCAAACTGTCAGATTGTACATAAGCATTAAAGTATAATTAATTAATGTTCACTTTATTGGAAGAAAACGATCTCCAACTGAAACGTATGAAAAAGAAAGAACAAGTAATTAATTGAAAATGTTAAAATAAATTACCTAGTTGTAATATACATTTTGTTTTTATTAATTTAGTGGAAAATAATGTTTATCTTATGAAAGACTAATCTATGTATTAAATAGATTGATATATATTTTCTACAATTGTAATTCCTTCAAATGACCATAATCATTAGTATTTTATCTGTACAAATGATGTGAACAGGGGATGAAACTTGGTAAATGGCAGTGCCGTTTTACCCACACACATATATATGTAGGTTATACATATTCCCATAAAATGTGACTATACTTTGTTCGTATATAATTTTTGTGATTTATAAAGAATTGTCTCGTTCTATAATTTATTGTAAATCTACTAATGATTATACTCGAATGCAAAGTTACATTCACAACAATCTCTGGATACTTGTTACAGTTATTATATCTCTATTACTACTATTATAACCACTACTACTACTAGTATCAATTACTTACCTACTACTTATGTTTGTTACCCATCGTAGAGGAGCATAGGTCGCCCATCAGCATTCTCCATCCAACTCTGTCTTGGGCAAACTATAATCGATATTAATGGTTTGATTATTTCATGTGATATCACCTATGTCGGTATTAACGTGAATGGTAAATATACTCTTCTTAACCTAACCAATTGTGAAGTTAAATCCAGTCGTTAAATACCTACTAAGGTAGGTAATGCATTATTACAAAAATAAAGTATTCATTTTTTCGTTTTTTTTATTCATTTTCTATTATCATTTATATAGTTTCTCATTTGAAATGGCGCCAGAATACTTTTCTTACCATGATTATTTGTTTATCGATGTGGTTGTGGATATGGTACACTCCTTTTTTAGAGTATGT